CAGACAGACATGTGGATTGTATATGATCTGACTTTCAGATGGACTTTTGTTCATTTCTTTTGGGTGGGCTGTAACAGGAAACCCCGTCTCTTGCCCTTAACCCTGCACATCAATTCTGTAATTCTGGCAATAACCCTTCTAGACTTTGGCATCCTTTTGTAAAATGTCCAAGTATTAGCTTGGAGAGCTAAAATATATATACTCTACATTAAAATATATATACTCTACGTATACAAAACATTTGGAAATGTTTTCATGATTTGTCTGTAGTCAATGATTAAATAGTAAAAATGTTGATGCCTGGAGTAGAAAGTTAGGGAAAGTGGACATGGATGTGGTTTTGCATTGAACTACAGCTAGCTGGGGACTGGTCTGGCCATGGGTGAGGATTTATGGAGCATTCTCAATCAATAACCTCTGAGGGGACTATTTAAAGCTAGAGATAAAGAATAAAACAGGTGAAAAGCAAGAATCGCAAGAGCAAGGGGAGTGCAAATAGAATCAGAAGGACAGCCCACGGTAGCATCCTCTCCCTGAAGAAATACACCAAGATGACTCAAAAAAGGCAAAACATTATGAAAAGAAGATGCAAAGAATTAACACTGGCACCATTAACTTTACAAAAGGGGTATTTAGTCAGCTGGATAAGCCTAATGTCTACTCTTAAAGACATGACAGCATTCTGAAGAATCAGCATTTTGAAGAACTAAAATAGCGCTGCCTTGTGGCTATGCTATAGGAGCTTAATAAAATGCATTTGAAAATGAAATACAAGGGGGGAAGATAAAACTGCATTCATAACAACTTTAGAAAAGCATGCTAAAAAATGTTCCATTACCCCACCCGTGTCTCCTCCCCTGTATCTCTTTTTCTTTTTCTTCTTTCCAACTCTCAAGTATTTAATGGTAGTGGGAAGAACTGATGAAAAGCCTTTGCCAGAGCTTGTCAGAGAAATATTCCAATTCCTTTTTATTCTCCCATCACAGACTTTGAATGCTCTAAAAAGAACAGAAAGAAAACAATGCAAGACAAATAATTTGTGAACTACTGTATCTAGGCATTTAAAATGCAGGTCAAATTCCAGAGGTCCTTGCCATCTGACCAATCTCTGTTTCATTGTAATTTAAACTTGGCATAAATAGTGGATTTTGCTAATCATCAGCTATCTGTCTAAAGACCACCTAAGAGATATCAGTGATGTTATAGTGAAATAAGCTGCAGTAACAGCAGTAACAGTTCATTTGCTTACATTTTTCCCAGGCTTAAAAATCTTTACATAAGCATTTCTTGAGAATGCTTGCAGCAGTGATGGGAGATGAGAGAGAGGGAGATGGAGAGAAAAAGAGATGGGGGGAGGAGAGAGAGGAGATAGGGGAAGAGAGAAAGAGAGCGAGAGAGAGCAAGAGAGAGAGCTGGGGTGTAGGCTAGAGGTGCAGGGAGGTGAAATGAGTCACCAGAGACAGAGTGGGGAGCAGAACATGCAGTTTGACTGAAATACACTGGTGAGGGGAGCAGCAGCAAAACAGGAGAGGTCGGCTGCGCCATGTGGGTCAGCTCCCTGGCCAGGATAGAACTCAGGCCTTAGAGGTGATCACTTTGAGACTTAACCCCTTAGGCCACCAGAGATGCCCTTTCTTTCTTTCTTTTTTTTACTGACAAAAGAATTTAAAGAGTGGCCAGTTCCTAACTATCTTCCCCTTGCTGAGGGAGAGGTAGCTGCATTATTTTATTTTCTATCAAAACACTGTTCTCTCCATTCTGAAAAGAAAAACTGAACAAGCGATGTCAGCTGCACTGCTTTGAAGACCGTTCTTCTGGAGACAATGCATCAAACCCAGTCTTGGGATGAACACACAGGCGTATCCAAGTTTTCTTTACAGGATCTCTCATTTATTTTTGCCATCTTCTGATGCACTTAGTATGCACTAGAGGGTTTTCCCATTCCCAAACTTTGTTCACACCAATCAAATTTATCAGAAAGCACTTTTAAGTAAAAACAAGTGGTACATGATCAGTCTGGTAAACAAATGTTAGTTAGCTGTAAACATGTATTTAATAATCAATCACCCCACCAGGTAGCTCAGAGGCCCTGCAACTTCTTAGAGGAGTGAGGATAATAATAATATCATTTTTTTAAAGATTTATTTATGCATACAACAACTGGGGTGTGAGTCAGACGTGTGGGGGGTGAGAAGATTCACCAGAGAAAGTAGGGAACAGAACAGGCAGATCTACTGAAATCTACTGCTGAGGGAAGCAGCTGGTGACACAGGAGAGGTCTGCTGCGCCATGTGGGTTACTTCTCGGCCCTCTGGGGATTGAACTCGTGCTGCAGTGGCTGGTGATAGCTTGATAGCATTTTCTTTAACCCCTGCGCCACCAGGGAGGCACAGGATAATAATATTAATAGCTAAAGTTTACTGAGGGCTTTCTCTGGATCAGTCCAAACTCTCCATTATTTAAAGATGTTATTTCCATCCTAACAACAATCCAATACATCAACTTTCATTACTTCTATTTTACATATGAGAAGAAAATGAAATCTTAGTAAATTTGAGACTTCCCAAAAATAAAGGCACAGAATTTAAAGTTCATCTTATTATGTGTTCAACGAATATTTATTAAAAATCCACATGGGCCAAGAATATAAGACAAAATGGAATATATAATCATTGTGTTTTGCTCAATAATGTTGCTGCTCTTCAAACGAATGGATAATAGAGTAAAATTTGATTATAAGATGGCCCAACAAATATGCTAAATAATATGCAACTTTTATTTTGACCTTTTAAAATATTAATTTGCCACTTCAAGAATTTTAAAAAATAACAGCAGGGAAGTAATTTATATTTAGTGGTGAAGGACTAACCTCTGGCACTTTTGTTGTGACCCCTCTTTAATGTTTTCTAAACAACTTGCTCTAGTGCTCAGAACAAGCACCTGAGTGTAAGACTTTCTCTTCCTTTTAAAAATTATCTCTTTTATTTTTAACTCTTTCAATTTTAATATTCTGAAGTATTCCACTCGATAATTTACTGGGGATGATGCTGTATGCAAAGCAATGAGCTTCTTATTTATCAAGAATGTGTACTGTATTTCAACGTGGTTTTCACATATGGAAAATACAAAATTATTTCTGAATATTGAATGTGTTCTATATTTATGTGTATTTTCACTTATTTTGGATACTGTATTTTTGTTACTTATAATCAATGTCAAAAAGTATAAGTACAGTGTTAACAGGTTATGCATTTATAAAAGTTTATTTACCTTTTTTATTTGTTATACTTCCAAATAATAAAGTTACTACCATCAATAGGATGTGTCCTGTGTTATTTAATACTAGTAGTAGTGCATTCATGTGTATCTAGACACACTGTGTCCCTCTTGGGACCAATCACAAGGAAACTGGAGAAAGTTTTGGGGTGTTGTCCATAACTTTGCAGATCGAAACCCATATGGAGGGGGATAAAAGCCATGTAGGCTAAGCATCTTATCTGAAAAATAGGAGAGTATTCAACTGAAGATAAATATTCTTCAACTAAAAGGAAAAAATGCCTTATTGCATATTATTTCAATATGAAAAAATGAAGGTACTACTTTACAAAGTTGGCGATTATTATATCCCTATTCCTGATGATGTTGGGGATGGTATCCTTTATCATGTTAAAAAAATGATGGTGCTATCAGAAATGTCTGTTCTAGAACCTTCTTTCAAGTTGTAGTGCTGGAAACCACTCCATCACTTTAGATTTTTTTTTAAAGTAGTTGTAATGCCAAGTATAAATACCCTGTATGCCATTATCAGGCTACTTATTACTTTCAATTATAGTTATTTATCCATGTCTCCATTTGACCTTTTTCAAGCCAAAGAATTCTTTAAAATCCAAAAGTTACATGTTACTTATTTTTCATTCCTACCACTCAGCACTGTGCTCTTAGTGTAGAGCAGAATTTAATAATTGATATTGTAATAAGTCATCTGAAATATTTATTTTAAACATCATTTCCTGTTTTCCAGTAGTCATTCTTCTGCCCTAAAACCCTTCAATACATAAGTTAAGGTTTTGAGAACATCACATATATACCTGTGAGCTGACAATTGTTTTCTGGATTTTACATAAATAGAAAATATATTTTAATACTATTTATTCCTATTACTAAAACATGAAATGTATTGCCCAAAATGATAGATACAGATATCCCCAGAAATTTCTGTTCCAATGAAAATAAATTACTTATGACATTTTGGTTTGTGTATGTGTTCTATTTTGGGGCAGAACAATGAGACATTTGACTCACTCTTCTCCATTTGGGCTGAACTGTGTTGCCAGCCCTGAGTCCTGTCTTCAGCCAGCATGTGTCAATATGTCCAGTGATGGCAATTGTATTTTATGAGACAAAGATGATATATCACCATTTTGTGGCTTGAAGTATCCTGAATAATGAGGCCATTTTAATTTTTTAATCTTTCTATATTGCTTGCATGGGTTTGGTCTATTTAGATTAATAATGTAATTTTTAAAAAATAATATTATCCCCTTCAAAGATTTTGTGAAATCATTTGGTAAAAACCATACATACTATTATTGTCACTTTTTAGAGTTTAGAATTAAAAGGAATAGGCAACACATATATCTAAATGTTCTTTATTATTTTGTTTGTGTGTAGAAGAACTGGGGTGTAGGCCAGAGATGCAGGCATTGAGAGGACTCACCAAAGACAGAGTGCAGCGCAGAACAGGCAGATCCACTGAAATCCGCTGCCAAGGGCAGCAGCGGGCAAGACAGGAGAGGTTTGCTGCACCATGTGCGTCAGCTTCCTGGCCAGGGATCAAACTTAGGCCACAGCGGTGATAGTGCTGAGACTTAACCCCTATGTCACCAGGGAGGCCCTAAATAGTCTTTAAATTAAGTGCAAGGAAAACATTTTTATATTCTAATATGTGCTCGTTTTATAATTGGGAATCGTTGATGCATTACCCACATTTTTCATTTCAGGCCCCCCCGGCCCTCCAGGTGGTCTGAGGATAGAAGACATCAGAGCCACTTCAGCGGCTCTTACATGGAGCCATGGTTCAGACAATCACAGTCCCATATCCAAATACACTATCCAGACCAAGACTATTCTTTCGGATGACTGGAAGGATGCAAAAACAGGTACGTTTTGTTTGTCTGGGGGGGAGGGGTGTGTGTGTGTGTGTGTCTGTATGTGTAAATGAATTCCTTTCTTTCTCAATAAAAATGTGTAAGTCTTTAGAATGTCATCATCTACTCTGAAATATTTTTTTCTGAAGACAATTTTCTTATAATCCCAATGTATTGGTGATGAAGAAAGCCAGAAGAAACTTTAATATTTAAAGACTATAGGGGAAAAATCAGCATATCTAAATCTGTAATGGGAAAGGAAAGAGAGAACACCTGGGTTTCTGTATTGAGCAACATATCATTCCAAGATTTATTAGGGAAAAAAATCAGAGAAGTCTTTTTATTTACTTATTTTTTGTTCGTTTGTTTTTGCATAAAGGAACTGGGGTGTAGGCCAGAGATTTGGGGGTTGAGAGGATTCACCAGAGACAGAGTGAGGAGCAGAAAAGGCAGATCTGCTTAAATCCACTGCTGAGGGGAACAGCAGGTGAGACAGGAGAGGTCTGCTGCGCCATACGTGGGTCAGGTCTCTGGCCTGGAATCGAACTCAGGTCATAGTAGTGATAGCACTAAGACTTCACCCCTAGGCCACCAGGGAGGCCAGAAGTTGTGTTTTTTTTTTTTTTTTAAATGGCATCTATTCATGAACCATTTTTTTCTAATTATATTGGTACTATTAAATTTTAATATTTATTGATCATAAGTGTTAATTGAAGCACCTAAATATTACTACTATATCCTTTACTTTCAGAGGATGATCTTACCTGGTTTGAATTTCCTCAAAACAATTTTTTAAAATAAGTTTTTCATTTCATTTTTTCTTTTTTTCCCTCCTGTCCCCAACTTTTTTTTCCTTTCTTGTATTACAATTTTCTAAAAATTGATCAAATAAAGGTATTAAGATGACTTTCCTATTACCATTGGGGTTTTTCATGACTGAAATATAACATGTCAATTTTTTTCTCTTTCATATCAAAGAAGATAGAGGATTCTTTCCATGAAATAATCTATTTGTGCTTGCCATTTTACAGTATTTAAAAAATAAAGTTGTAGTCAAATTTTCTTTTAGTATACATAATGAAAATACATAGAAAATATGTGCTCAATTATCACCAGAGAGGGGTATAAAAAGACAATGGCAATGAATAAAATGTTTCTACCTTTTAAAATTGGAAGAACAAAATTCCCACAAATCTCAAATCTTCCCTCATTTTGGCTTTATCCTTGTGCAACAGAATTTTTATGAGTTGTTCACTAAGAGGTTTTAATTTAGATTTACTTTTCTTTGAGCATTTCTTGCTGTTGGGGAAATGAACCAAATATATTTTTCAGTATTATGAGGATTTAGGATATTTCAGTATGATTCTCCACGCAAATATATAAAATTTAATGGATTATAGATAAGTGACTTTTTTTTTACATTATAAGAGTTACATATATGGTACCTAATCAGACCGTTTGAAAAATAGGTTTAAAAATTATTTGGAGGAGGACTATGGGTGTTTCAGTGGTGGATGTGGTGTGGTAATACCTGAAGGGGGTGATCCTGAACCTCTAAATCATATATAATGCTGTAACTTATTGCTACCTCAATAAAAATAAAATAATAATAATTATTTAGATGTTTGATAGATGGATAAATGAAAATCTGATAAATGAAGAATGGATACTTTTCACTTCTCAGAAGATAATGAAAATGCATAGCGATAATGAGACTGGATAATATTAGGTAGCTACTCAAACTGATTCTGATTATAGGTACTGGAAGACAATGAAACACATTTTTTAAATGATTAAACTTGGTTTGTCTTTGAAAGAGTAATAATAATGCAACCACTTCCACTAATTATGTATGCAAACCATACAGTTCAACTAAATATGCTTCGCACACATAAAAAATCCACTAAAGAGTAAGATTCATGTCATTGAAGATTATGTTTTTTTTCACAGTTCCATCCCTAGCTCCTAGATCAGGGCCCACAGTTCTCATTCATCAAACACACATTAATTGAGCTCCAAGTGTATGTTGGAATCTGTCCTAAGTGCTGAATACACTCTGACCCACAGCAGACAAAACACAGAAAAAAGACGCTTCCTCCAGGAGCCCACATGCCAGTAGGAGAGACAGAGTAAACAAATCATCAGCTTGTAGAGTCAGTTTGGTGACTTGGAGCTAAAGAGAAACAGAAGGGTGAGGAGGCAAGAGGCAAGGGCTGTATTTTAAACAGGCTGCTCCTGATTTTAGTGTAGTAGCAACACCACTTTCTCATGCTTTTTATTTGCATACTATGTCTTTTTCAACTGTCACAACTTATTTGTATTTTTTAATTTCAGGTATGTTTTCTACTGTAAGTCTCTAGTTGGACTTGTTTTTTATCCTGTATGACAATCTCTGCCTTGTTGCTTTTTTATTTGTTTAGAAGTACTAGGGTGTGGGCCAGAAGTGTGGGATCCCCCAGAGACAGAGTAGGAAGCAGAACAGTCCAATCTACTGAAATCCACTGCTAAGGGAAGCAGCAGGCAAGACAGGAGAGTTCTGCTGCGCTATGTGGGTCAGCTCCTGGGATCGAACTCAGGCCATACTGGTGATAATGCTGAACTTTAACCCCTAGGCGACCAGGGAGGCCTTGACTCTCCTCCCTTGTGATTAGATTGTTTAATCCAGTAGTGTTCATTGTTATTGCTGATATAGTTAGATTTATACTTGCCATTGTAATGTTGCTTTCTAATTGTTTCACTTGCTTTTTTCACCTTGTATTCCCTCTTTATTGCTTTCTTTTTCATTATTTTGTAGTACAACATTTTAATTAATTTAGTGAGATCTCATTTATGTATAATGAAGTCACTAAAATGATCAAGTCTATTGTGATAATTATAATTTATCTGGTTGGCCCTAGAGGAACCATTTAAGTGTGTGTGTGTGTGTGTGTGTGTATACACTATATATATCTAAATGTGTGTGTGTGTGTAGCTCCTCATTTGTTCCTATGGAGTTGAACTACCATTTGATGTCTTTCTTACTCTACCACAACTTTGCTTCTATCTGCCTCTTTAAGTTATAATCACATTTATTCTATCTATATGTGCCATAGGCCAACTGCACAATTAACATGTAATAAAATATACATGCACGTATATATATATATATATATATATGTGGATGGGTAGGAAGCAGTTTCCTATAATCTCAACATTCATCGATGAACATTCCATTCAAATGATTTTTATCTCTAATTGTTTTTTTATTTGTAGGATATTTTTGTGTGTGGTATTTGGCTCCTTTTAATATTACTCACATGGTCACCCATGAAAATTTTCTTTTTGTTTATACAAGCTGTGTACCTTTCCCTCTTAATAAACACCTCTGTATTTCTAGCAGTTGTTCTTACGTTCCTGTCTGATCCTTTTCCAACTGAGCCATCTTTAAGTCTGTCTGTTTTTTTTTTTCTTTCTTGACAACAGGTCACATGTCTTTGTTTTTTCATGTGCTTGATGATATTTTATTAATTTCCCCACATTGTGTTTCAAACAATAGTAGAGGCTGATGGAAATAATATTTACTTACTCATTTTAAAGATTTATTTATTTATTTGTTTATTTGTTTGTTTGTTTGTTTGTTTGTTTATGCATAGAACAACTGGGGTGTAGGCCAGAGGTGCAAGGGGTGAGAGGATTCACCAGAGACAGAGTGGGGAGCAGAACAGGAAGATCTACTGAAATCCACTGCTGTGGGGAGCAATGGCTGAGACAGGAGAGGTCTGCTGAGCCATGTGTGTCAGCTCCCTGGCTGGGGATCAAACTATCAGTGGTGATAGCACGGTAGAGACTTAACCCCTAGGCCACCAGGGACACACTGGAAATAATATTTATACCCAGGAAAATGCTTGCCACTCATTCAGGGGTTGAGTAAATCTATTCTGTAGTTGAGATGATCTGAGCTTTGCTATTAGATTCAGCTTTGCTGTTAGAGACTGGCTTCAAATGATTTAAGTGTAGGACTAGATCCTTCCCTCATATCCATGTGAGCATATGAGCATCCTCACAATAGCATCAGACTCCAGCTTGTTCTTCTACCTTCAGCATCAGGAAGGAGTTTTTCCACCTCCTCTGTTTCAGCTCCAAACAGCTGATAATTTCTAAAACCCACAGTAAAGGGACTCAGTTCCCCACCTCGCCCCTTAGAAGGCAATTGTTTAAAGTGTTCAATAAAATTTTTTCAAATATATCAACTTTCTGCAACCCGAAGATTAAATTTAGAATAATGGAAGACTAGACTAGATATATTTAAAATGAGCTACTGTAAATGTTATTTCTCTTGGACTTCTTAGAAGAGGGATAACAGAAATTGATGCTATTTCCTAGATTCTCTGAAATGTATAGTTTTCTTTTTTAAATTTTTAAAAAAAATTATTTTTATTTATATAAAAACTGGGGTACAGGCCAGAGACGTGTGAGGGTGAGAGGATTCACCAGAGACAGAGCGGGGAGCAGAACAGACAGACAGATGGAGACACTGCTGAGGGGAGCAGCGGGCAAGGCAGGAGAGGCCTGCAGCGTCATGTGGGTATCTCCCTGGCTGGCCGGGAATCAACCCACACTGCAGAGGCTGCAAACAGTTTCACAGCACTGCACCCAACCCGCTGTGCCACCGGGAATTTAGTATGTTGTGTTTGATTTTATGCTGCTATATTTAAAGAAAAAATATAAAATATTGGTGGTGATGGTGGTGGTGGTATGTGTGTAAAGGAGATATTGGTCCAAATCTAAAATGGCCTGACAACCATGATATAAGGAGCAGTTTAAAGAGCCTGGCATAAGGTCTTTAAGAAGGAAAATATTTTTTTAAATATTTAATCATTCAGATATGTGGATGACTGAATGATTATTACAGATATTTTGCAGTAGCATCTTAGCACATAAATGTTTCCCTGGATTTTAGTTTCCCTAGAATAGACATTTTTAAGTTAAATTATTGAATATAAATAGGCTTCAGCCCATGAGCTATCCTACAA